TTTTTTTGACAGGGTGCACCATGTCACAGTGCCCGGCCCCAGCCTCCCAGCCTCGCAGCCATCTGGGACCACAGGTGTGGACTATGGGGCCTGGCCTGTTCAGGTTGGACTGGAAGCCATGCCCAGGCCTTCCATGCAGCCTCGGCCACCTCAGAGCACACTCCTGCTTGTGCCACCACGACTGGACCATATCTTATAGATTTTTTTTTTTGAAGAGGTTTTTTGCTATAGAGCGTGTGCACTCGCCAGACAGACAGAGACAGACAGAGAGACAGAAAGCAGGAAATCACCCCCCAGAGGGGATGGTCACGCCGCAATCCCTTCTCCTCCATTCTCCTCTCGGGATCTTGGGCACGCACAAACACGCACCCAGTGTGAGTTCTAAGCCACCAGGTCCGGGACTCGAACCGCGGTCGACTACGTGGGAGTCCAGCGACATAGCCATTACGCTAACTGCTGGTCCCTGGACCATATCTTATAGATTTTTATGACTGTCTTATAAGGTGGGATGGGAAGAACATATTATCCTAGTTTTACTAATGAGGAAACTGAGATCTGATAGAACTGGGGGAGTATTGCCAAGTCCCAAGATGGAGTCAGGACTCTGAAGGCAGAGCCAGTGCAGTTTTATCACCCCTGTCACTGTGCATACTGGAAAGGACTGCCTCCTCTCCGCACAGAGGCCATTCTATCTTCTGTGCACCTACAGACCTTCTTGTGATGCTTATCTACCTGAATCAAAGCCAAAAGTGGGCTGGAGAAGGGTGGGCGATAATGTTCCTCGTACATTGTATGTGGCTGTCGTGTTCTGACCCTTAACTAATCTCTGTGTGTTTTAGCTATGGTCAGAGAAATAGTAAATCTTTTGAGCACTTTTCTCTCCTCTCTGGTGTGTGGGAAACTGCCCACTTTCCTCGGTAGATCCTCCAGGGATGCCAGTGGAGAGGAGATTTTTCACATGGGAAGCTCGACCTTGTGGGCCTTATTCTTGTCTCTCTAATTCACTTCCCTCTCGCTGTCTTTTGCTCTTTATTCTTGCCTTGATGGAGAAACGCGTATCCCGTATTTGCCACTTTTTCCCAAGAATGCATTCTTGGCTCTTCCTTAAATTCCTTGTATTACAGCTGAGACTAAGCTGGAACATTCACACAAGACTTCACTGATGCAGCTGCATCAATAGCTAACCTGTAAATGGATATTTCTGTTTATCCCCGGCTTCTTTGGGTCGAGAAACTGCTGGCCAGCTTCCACCTTCCCAAGGAACATGTACCCCGACACCTGTCCTCCTTGGTGACTGTGCCCAAGAACACAGCTTCTTATCTTTCTCTTATCACTGTAGTGCTTACTTTTCCAGGTCCCACTTTGCTTTCAGAGCCTATTCTTATGTAATGATTGACAGCAGGCATTGTGCGTCTTCAGGAGAAGCGCATCCCCTATCCCCAAACACGTGGTTTTACTGAGACCTCCACCGGACAGCCCTGCCAGATCACAGAGCCTACAGTGGGCACCAGGTAGATAGACAGATGTAATGCTGAAAAAGATATTAGCAAGTTGTTGCAGACCAGCCCATGGCTTGATGGTTGAGGCTGCTGGATCCCACATGGCTGAACTCACAGTTCAAGTCCTGGGCTGGGAGGCTTGAGAAGCACACTGGGCACACCCAAAATCCCCAAAGGAGAGAAAGGTGGAGGAGAAGGGATTGTAGCAGGACCCATGGGCATGCTTTCTCCAGCGCATATGCCTTCTGGCCAATTTAAAAAGAAGAAAGTTCTCGAAAGTGATAGTTTATTTTGCCTGTAGCTCAGGAGTCTAATCTTCCATGTGCCACTAGTCGAAGCTGACCCTACTTTTTCTCTCCTAGGTATCATGAACTGATCACAAAATATGGGAAGTTGGAGCCTTTGGCAGAAGTGGACCTAAGGCCCCAGAGCAGTGCAAAAGTAGAAGTCCACTTCAACGACCAGGTGGAAGAAATGAGCATTCGTCTGGACCAAACAGTTGCAGAACTAAAGAAACAATTAAAAACTCTAGTGCAATTACCCACGAGCAACATGCTTCTCTACTATTTTGACCACGAAGCGCCCTTTGGCCCAGAGGAAATGAAATATAGCTCTCGTGCTTTGCATTCCTTTGGTATTCGGGATGGAGATAAAATTTATGTGGAATCCAAAACAAAATAACCTCTACCTGCCTTGTAAAACATATACACAAGGACTTCTTGCAGGGCATTGGTTTCCAATGTGGTTTTCTTTAGGAAGGATAAGGTTGTTTTTGTTGTGTTATGTTTCATTTCATTTAGGTTTGGGAGGGGTTTTGTATATGTTTTTTTTCCCCCTAGAATGGGTAGGGGACGTTTTGGTATTTTCTACTGCAGATTTCTTCAGCTCAGCCAGCAGAATTGGCCGCATCTCCAGCCTACGTGCCCTCTCTCATGCAAGATGACCGAGAAATCACCGACTTCTTACTGTGTTCACTGGCTGTGTCTGCCACTTGGTTCTTGTTGCCGTTAGGTATGCTTGTAAAAATGGCGCGACTAGTACAGCCCCTCAGAAGGGCATCTGCTGGTGTTTCAGCCAGGAGACAAGGACCCTTCCGGGAAGGGCCAGCACTTCTCTCTCCTGGTTCTTCTTTTCTGCTTTCCTCTCCCTCCTTGCCTTTTTTGGTTCTTTTTATTTTTATTTTATTTTTTTTTTAACGTTGATGTACATCTTCACATGTTTACCTAAGTTTTATCCTGTTTATAGTTAACTCCTTGTTTCTCATCTTGAGTGATTTTTTGCTTTTCATTTTTCCCTTTTGAAATAATTTTAAATGGTTTCATCATTTTCCACCTGATTCTGATCTCAGGTACTCAGTAAGAAGCTATGACCCTGTTAGGGTCTTGAAGGACAGTACAGGAAGAGGTGAAGGTCGGAAAGCTCGCTGTCCTGCTGGGAGCACAGCAGAGCAGCCCGATCTGTGTGACTGCTGGCTCACTTCTCACATCCCTCATACGTTACGTCCGGCCTCCTCCCATCACATGACAATGTCACACCCTGAAGTTCTTTCTTTTTTGCTTACTGAATATACTTCCTCCTGTTTGTTTCTTCCATTACCTTGAACTACTGAGAATAGAGGCCTGACTTTATCACAAATCTAATAGTGTTCTGGGTCTGCAGGCCACGGCACGTGAGCATTGACCCATAAACTGTCTGCGGGGTGTGGGCATGAACTGGGGGAGCACGGGAAGGAGCGCAGCAGCTCTCCTGCCCGCGTCACCACCTGGAGCCTTGCTGTTGCACTTCACGTTCAGAGTGGGGAATTTTCATCTAAGGGGGCTTCGATTCCCAGTTCTTCCCTGGGCTTTTGTGACAGCATATAAATGGAACAATTCTTTTTGCTTTAATTTAATTTGCATTTCAATTTAATTGCCCCTATAGAAGAACGACTCTGCCTAATCTATGAGTAAAGTTTTAAGTATCAAAACTTCAGAACTGCCTCCAAGTCATATTTTTTTTTCAAAAGCTTATTTAAAGCACTTACCTTTTAAAAGCAATTTCCTTACCTGCTCTGAAATCCTTTCGTTTGTTCTCTTTCCTGCCTTCATCAGATGTAATCCGTTTCTTTAATCCATATCTTTCTTGGTCCACCATGTGGACAGGTGGGAGACTTGAGAAACACGTAGCGTAACTAGGGTGGAAGGTGTGTAGGAGGAGTATTTTTCAAAGAATGCAATTATTACGTGATTGCACTTGACCTTTTGACCTTTGTTACAGGACACTACCCCTCCTACAAACTTAATTTCTTACGAAATTTTTAGACAATTCTTGTAAATTCTTAAAGTGTGGAGGGTCATGTTTATTATTGCTACTTTTTCCATTTTCCTATGCCTTGCGGCAGGCGTTTATTCTCTTAATGCACTTGAGGCTCAGTATCTGCGAAGCCTGTGACCCAGGCCTACTGGGTCGAATCTACATTCACTGTAACGTTAAAGGTGGAAACCAAAGGGTTTGAGGAAGATGAATGCAGCCTCTTCTCCTTCTGCTGCACACTTTCTCTTTCGAAATCATAAAAATGAGCAATGGAGATCCAGTCTGGGTATAGACAAGAATAATTATTTTGTGATCACATTTCTCTGACAGATTTTTGCAAGTGGGAAAAAAGTGTGGCAACAGTGTCATGGAGATGAAGACTGCGGGTGCTTTGTGTACGCACGCGTGAGTGCAGCCGAGTTGGAGCGCGAGACGGTGTAATTGAGCCTTTGCTTTTGTCAGCCTGGGAGACAGATGCACGCTTATTTTTTGAAATTGTGTGACCCTCGACTGTCCCACAGCAGAAGGCAGAACCGACACTTATGCTTTAACCATAAGTGGAATGGTCACAATTAATAAGATATTTTATATATGACAAAGTTTTATGAAATGCTTTTTTACTATTAGAGACCTGTTTCTGTTATTACAGGACACAGTGTTTATCAATTGCAGGCTTAATTCTTTTATTATACAGTTGCATGTAAAGGGAACTTCTCATTTAATTCAACAGCCATGGGTATTTTTAGGGCATTGTAATTGATGGTTTTAACCATTGCTGAATAATTTTTGTTTAAGGAAAAAAATCTCAACAGTTACTGGACTTTTAGAGTTAACAAAGTTAATGAGAAAAGCTCTTTGAGTAGGTGTACTTACAGATTCGTTTGGGTGGCTGGGTAAAGATGCTGCTTTTTGAAATAAAATTGGTGCTGTGTAGACACTTGTAACCAAAATTATTTTTATCACAGGCCTAAAAGAAGGAGAGATGGGCTGTGGACCTCTGAGTGTACAGTCATGCGTGACTGGCTGTCCGCAGCTTGCCCGTATTTTAACATTGACTTTGTCCAGTTTCACTGAGAGCATGTTATTGACATTTATGAGGCAAAATGCTTTCCTAGCCAGTATTACTGATGTGTTCCTCTAGGACAGTGTGTAGAACATATCTTTTATGAAGTGCAAGTTCTTTTCAGTTAGGAGAGAGGAAAGGCATCATGAAAGAAAGCCAAATCAAAACCAAGGGGTTGTTTCTACACGCGGATCCATAACTGTTGAAGCCACCGTGTAAATCAGGTTTTGAATCTGATTGTTGAGCTGTCCTACAATGCTTGAAAGAAAATAAACATACAGAGTCACATGCCTTCCTTTATTCTCACACGTTTCCGTTGTTTTCTGCAGCCTGTTGCTGCCATGGCCATAAACACATAAGGAAGCAGCAGATAATCACAAGCCCTTTGGTTTTGTTTTTTTTTTTTTTAAAGGCCTTTTGGTGGAAATTAAACCCAAAGCGTAATTTGAGCTATGTGTAACAGGGCTAAATGCTAAGATGCTGTGTGTTTAAAAACTGCTCCCTTAAAGTGAAAATCCAGTTCTACACAGATATTGCAGCTGGGTGGTGAACCCATCAGGGCTAGGAGCAGAGGATGCGTGTGGCACATGAGCTAATCGCTGTTGGAGATGCACTGCTGAGAGCTTCGGTTAGTGCACATGTGGGCGTGGCTTGCTACATGGGCAATGCTAGGCTCTGGGGCGTGTAAAAGGCGAATACAGGATGCCAGATTGTTCTAAGCAATGTCATTTCTGTTCATGAATTTGATTTTTCCCTTCATTTCATGTTAGATGGAAAATGCAAACAAAACTGCTTTCAAGAACACCCAGAAGCTATCTGTTACCTGACGTGTTGTGAACACTTTACTCTTTTCCATAGGTGCTTCCTAAAAATATATGTCCATTGTAGTGATGGAGAGGGACTGGACTCTCTCAGGCTCTTTACTTGCCAGTTGTCTCCTGCAGTTAATGGAAATATATATTTTATTTTAGAATATGATTTAAACACGAAGGTCTATTCTTTGCACTTTTTATTAATATATATATAAATATAAATATATAGAGAGATAATCTTTAAAAAATTAAAAATCCAAGTCCATTTTCTCCTTGTGTTCTGATTTTTTTTTTCCTGGAGCGTGGGGTCAAAATATGTTTATTTTTCTGTAACTGCAAATGGGCCTCAGTTCGGTGGTTGGGTTCTCAGGGGGAATCGGCCTAAACTTGTAAGAATCTGACCGTTTTAACAAACTTAATTAGAATTTTGCTAAAATTGAAAACTGCAAAACAAAGATTTACAGGAAATGTATTATACTACTTTTCTGTCAGCAAAATGTTATACTTCTGATACACTCCCTACACTTCTTTCTTATCCCCTGAAAGTAAGTCATCTTTTGAGAGAACTGGCATCACCTTTGTTGAATAAGGTCAAAAATCTCATTTTGGCAAAATAAAAATTGGCCCGTTCTTGTTCAAGAGCTATATTTTTCTTTGAAAAAAATAATTTTCCAGCAGTATTAAGAGTTTTGGATATTTGAACCCTACCTGCTTTATCAGTAACCTCTTAGTGGGCTGTTATGAATTAACTTTGTACCAAGAATTAAGGTACAAGGACTAGCCTTTCTTTCTATATTTAGAATGAAGTTCTCTCTTAGTACTTTAGAAGTACAGAATGACTGGGAGTCGGCAGGTGGCGTGGCGGTTAAAGCGCTGGACTCTCACATAGCCGACCACGATTTCAGTCCTGGATCTGGTGGCATGCTTTCTCACTTCTCCTTTCCCTCTCTCTCTCTCTCTGTCTCTGGTCAAATTAAAAATAATAAATAAAATAAAATAAAAATAATTCTTTAAAGAAAAGTACAGAACCATCATGATGTGTTTAAATTTGAGATGATTTATTCCTCTACTCAAATTTCAAAGAGTTGCCGTTTCGATGGCTATGCAACATTGTGCTTAATTGCTGTTTGCTGTGAGCTGCTCTGAGAGCCTCCAGGGTAGACATATATCAGTTCCTCTTGGGTTGGACAATGCTGGCTCTCTTCAGTTACTAGCATGAGTTTGGAACAAGAAGGTTGACCTTTGAAGTCATTATTTCTCTAACTCTGTTCTGGCAAAGGAGTTCCCATGTGGTTTACAACCACTCTGTGAGGTCCACACTGCCGCCCCCGTGTTCTTACTGTTGAGGTGATCGACGATCTACGTGCAGATACGTGAAGTAATGCCATTGGCCATGAATGACTGCAAGGCCACTCTTCAAATCCAAACCATTCGACTCCAGGATCCACATACTTGACCGCTGTGCTGTAGTTGCTAAAGAGCTCCATACCTGTCCCCCAACACACCCTTCCATTGTTAGACTTCATTTTCATTAAAACAGAAAAGTGAGATGTTCCTTAATACCAAATTTGCTAAACTGATTTGCTCTGTAACAGAATCACTATGTGACTGATAGCCCTAAATCCAGATAGGAATGTGCCCTCACGTTGTTTCCAGAGTTGTGAGATTGCAGTGGGTACCTGCCACTCCTCCCTGCCCCTCTGAGATGCCATATTGGGCACACATGGTGGGTGCCGTTGGCAAGAACCAGTAATAGGATATGAGAAGACTGAGAATTTGGAACCTAGGAATCTTGTAGAGCCCCGGCACTTGGTTTCAGTGGAGAGCCAAAGGTGGGAGAGGTTACTGGGTTCCAGCTCAGACTGTCCTCAAGGACGCATAGGGTTCCAAGTGAATTTAAAATCGGTGTGAGGAGGGGGAAATAATTCCCAATCTGGTGGAGCAAAACCTTTGATAAAGGCTGGGGGACCAGCAGTTAGTGTAATGGCTATGTCGCTGGACTCCCATGTAGTCGACCGGGGTTCATGTCCAGGACCCAGTGGCTTAAACTCAACGCTGGGCATGTGTGTGTGCGTGCCCAAGATCCTGAGAGGAGAATGGAGGAGAAGGGATTGCGGCATGGCCATCGGGGGTGATTTCTCTCTGTCTGTCTGTCTGTCTGTCTGGCGAGTGCATGCGCCCTGTAGCAAAAAAACCCCCCCCCCCCAAAAAAAAAAATCCTTGATAAAGGCTTTATCAAAGGACGCAGTTGCTGCTGCTGTGCCTCCTTAAAATTCTAGAGGAAGCCTCGTGAAGAATACGACTACTGCTTACAAAATGGAGGAGACACGTTACCTCTCAGGGTCTGCCAGGTCTAGACCTGCCCAGAACTTTACAGTGTAATTTTACTTGTCAAGTCTTTCAAAAGACTTCATCCTTGAGTGGTTTTTGATCACTCTAATACAGTTAAGGTGTTAAATAACTAAGAATGAGACTCAGGGAGATAGGTGTTAAAGAAGACATAGGAAAGAAAAATGTTTTCTGGAATATCGGATATATTTGAAGGCAGGAGTATATGGTTTACACCACTGTTAGAGAATACAGCCAGGACAATGCGAACTATTGCGGCTGTGTGAAAATTTCATTTGCTTTAACTTTCAGTTTACGTCATGAAGTTGTTTTTAAAATCACTTTAATTTTTTAAAGTCAAATCGCTATTAAACTTTTTTTTTTTTTAAGGTTTTTGCCATAGGGCTTGTGCGCCAGCCAGAGAGGAGAAACAGAGAGAGACAGTGAGACGCAAAGTGAGAAATCACCTCCCAGGGGGGATGGCCATGCCACAATCCCTTCTACTCCTGGGATTTTGAGCATATGTGCACATGCACCTGGACATGGTTTTCAATCTGCCAGGTCTGGGACTCAAACTGCAATTGGGAGGGAGTCCAGTGCCTTAATCACTATGCTGAGACCAGCAGATGGCATAATGGTTACATCGTTGAACTCCCATGTAGTTGACTGCAGTTCAAGTCCTGGACCCAATGGCAAAAAAAAACAAAAAAACAAACAAAAAACTAAACTCACATAGGCACATGTGTGCGCCCAAAATCCTGAGAGGAGAATGGAGGAGAAGGGATTGCAGCGTAGTCCTCCCTTCTGGGGGGTGATTACTCACTTTCTGTCTCTCTGTCTCTCTTTGTCTCTCCGGCTAGCACACACGCCCTATAGCAAAAATCTCTCTTTAAAAACAAAATGAAACAAAATCACACCATGCAACCTCTTGACCCCCAAATTTACAATTCACATGGTTCAAAAATCAGACACTATAAAGGTATACAGTGAAAAAGCTCACTCTAGTGCACGTGCTCCCTTCTTCACCAGTTTCTTGTATGTCCAGAGTTTTCACAAATAATAACAACACGTGTTCTGATCGTTCCCCTTTCATACAGCCAAGCGTGTATTCACTATCATGCACCTTGCTTTTTTTTCACTTAAAATATATCTTGGAGATCTCCCTTTGATAGCACATGGAAAACCACCTTGTTTTGTGTTCAGAATGTAGGTGTTCATTTGATTGATGTAGCAGAATTTGTTTAACCAGTACCCTATTTACTGAGATCTGGGGGTTTTATTCTCTCTCAATTTCTGTCTCTTACTATTTTCAGTTGGCTGCAGTAAGCACCATGTCGGAAGTACAGCCGTAGCATACATCCCCAAAAGTGAGATTGCTGGAGCAAAAGGTCCAACTGTTTGTCATTTTGGTAGATATTGTCAAATTGTCCTCTGTTGGGGTTATATGAAATTATTATTTGCCACATCTTCAGAAAGTCAAAGACTCCTAATCTTGGGCTTGATAAGATTCCCGATTAGTGCAACCAGTGCGGCCTTCTTCCCGGTGAGGCGTGCAATTCCAGGCGCTTGGATGCAGCACATCACAGATTTGGTGGGCCATACGGCCCACACGTATCACCTTTCTCCTAAGCCATCTTTACTCTGGAGCCTCTCATTTTTATTCATTTGTAAGATTTCACCTCCGTAGCAGAAAGTACACGTATTATTTATCCTTAACGGTGTGTGAACAGTTGTTTCAGCTCAGTACCCTTGAAAAGTGATGGATTAATGGTCTTGAAATCCTGTGGTTATTGTCTAGAGTAAGCTTTACTCAGGGCTGGTTCTTCCCTACCAGCGAATCTACTTTAGAGGAACTACTTGGTGCTCCTTAGTGAACAGGGAAGATAAGGTGTCTGCCCCATCCCCACCCATTTTTATTGCTAATGTGCTAGCCAGGGTGTTAGAATAAGACCCATTTGTGAGTTTTTTGGTTAAGTCAGCCCACTCAGAATTAGCGATTACAAACTCCTTGGCTAGAGATACTTCAGTTGCTTTCAGAAAATATCTTTTGAGTCCTGTTTCTCCAAATTTAAGCCATATTTATTAGTGTTAGCCCAAACCCAAAGTCCAGAATGAGTAAGGCTAGCACAAAAAGAAATACAACTTACAGGCAAAT